GAGATTCGTAAAAAAAAAAAAAAAAAAAAAAAAGACAGTAAATGGGAATGGGAATTGAGAAGAAAACTAACAGTAGGAAGAGATTGGCAATTAGGGTTTTTCTTGCACTCATTTCGTGGCCAAGCCACAGATCCTTCACCATCCAATGAACCACCTCCACTGACACTCAACTGATCGACATATCGAAAGTTTATCCAACTGTCGGACGCAAGAAAAGACATGTCGGTCGGAGCCTTTAAAATACCCTTAATCACAAAGGCCATTTGCCCTTCACATGGCCCCAAAAACAGCACACTTTTCAACTTGAATGTACCTTTTGGGACATATACCCTTCCCCTCCCCTTCCATTCACACGCATCCTTCCATGCTTCTAAAAATGCCTAAAAAAAAAAAACAACAACAATGTTTAGACCCAACACACATAACCTACTAATCGAATTTTGAACCGACTTACCTTGGAGTTATCCGTTGTTCCATCCGGGATAGCTCCATAACGAACAACATTGAAGATCTTAGGTCTGCCAACTCGAACTCCTTCTGTAATGGAAAACAAGAACAAGAAGAAAACAACCGACAAACCCCGAACAACGCCACATTTCTTCAACCCCATTTCTTCCTTCTTCTTCTCTGAAATGGATTTGATTTGTTTTGACATTTTCATTACAATTATATATAATGATCAATAAAGTTACCAAGTTTGCCAACATTCCTCAATTAAAATGTTTTTTTTTTTTTAATAAATATATTAGAAATAAAGATGAAGGATTTAGTGCCCAATTTTTTTAAGAAAATAATAATAATAATAATAATTTTTAGCCATTTTTTCTTCATTGTCCAAACTTGGAAATGTTTGCATATTTGGAATCAGTTTCAAAGCTGGTTTCAGTTTCTTTATTTGATTGGTTTAATCTGAAATTTCTTTTGTTGTAATGATCCTGAGGTAGAGTCTATGGTAATCAGCAATATGGGCCTTTGGATCGATGAGGGCCCACTGGAGATGAGGAATCTGACGGTGTGGATGAGTTGGAGATGGGAGTTACTGTGGGCTCTGCCATACTGGATATTTGGAGGGCATGTAATGCAGCGGATATTATTCCTTATTTTCTTATACGATGATTAATACGATATTTTATAATATATTTATTTATTATTAGACCTTTAAATTAAATGTATTTATTAAAAAAAATATCTCAATCAACCCAATTTTAATCCGACAATATATAAATAAATAAAATTTTATTTATTCATTTATATCTATTTTATTTTAAATTTTCACTTTTTAGAACCAGAGGCTTTTTGTTTGAACGAATTTTGTACAAATTTTAAGCACACGAAAAATCACTGTAACTCATTAGTTTAAGCTTATTGGTTGATTTTTATCATTTAAGCTCGGACCATATTTAAAAATAAAATTTTAAATGTTTGAAGTGTAATAGTACACAATACAATTTGGCATTGTTATTTGAACGATCCACATGAATAAATACAAACTAAACTAACTATTTTGGATTAAGTTCATTATCGATTATTTGAGTTGAAATAATTTACAACTTGAACCGTTTAGTTGAACTTCATATCTCGAACTTATAAGATCGCTAAATTTCGGTCTCAATTTTTTTAATTATAAATATTAGACCACTCTTATTATATTTGCAAGACTTTAATTTATATATTATTTATTTTTAATTCTATGGGCATTATTTACGTTCTTATCTTAATTCAAAGTTTAAAGATAAGAAGCGACCATTTTTACAAAATAAAATAAGTCAGTATATAATTTGTATTATACTTTATTTATATATAGTATTAAACGTTAATAATGACATTAACAAAAAAGTATTAAATTTAAAGAGAATGGGGGAGAAAAAGGGAATAAAATTTATAAAAGGAATGGAAATTAAGAAATCAGGATAAAAAAAAATGAAAATTTGTGAGGGGTAGTATAGTAATTTTCATAAAAGGAATGGAAATTAAGAAATCAGGATTAAAAAATGGAAAAATCGTGAGGGGCAGTATAGTAATTTTCGTAAAAGGAATGGAAATTAAGAAATCAAGATTAAAAAATGGAAAAATCGTGAGGGGTAGTATAGTAATTTTAATAAAAGGAATGGAAATTAAGAAATCAAGATTAAAAAAATGGAAAAATCGTTAGGGGCAGTATAGTAATTTTAATAAAAGGAATGGAAATTAAGAAATCAAGATTAAAAAAATGGAAAAATCGTTAGGAGCAGTATAGTAATTTTTATAAAAGGAATGGAAATTAAGAAATTAGGATAAAAAAAATGGAAATATCGTGAGGGGCAGTATAGTAATTTTCAATCAGGATTAAAAAATGGAAAACCGTGAGTGGCAGCCTAGTAAGATTTCATAAGCTTTCTTGACTTTGATATTATTCTGTCCACTTTCAGTACAAGCTTTCGTGACTTTGCTTTGGACTTTTCAAAATGACTAATTTTAATGGAGATAGTATTATTTGATTATAAACTCACGATCATTTCT